TAGGTAAAGGTTGTCTAAATGGGGCCCCAGTGGCCAACAATCAACATGAGGGACCTCATGAAATTAAAAGGCTTCTTTCTACACTGTAGAGGAAATTGTTAATCAACTGAGAGGCAGCCTACAGAATGTGGGAAGAAAATCTCTGTCATACACATCAGACACTGAATTGGTATCTAGATTATACAATGAACTCAGAAAAATTAGACATTAAGAAAACACTACCCAATTAAAAAAAAAAACTAAATAAAGATTTCTCAAAAGAAGAAATACAAGGGTCAGCAAAATGGCTGAGAAGGTGAGGGAAGTTGCCATTAAATCTGACAACCTGAATTCTATCCTCAGAACCCACAGGTGGAAGGCGAGAACCCTCTCCTGAAAATTGTCTTCTGACCTACACGCGCGCGCGCACACACACACACACACACACACACCACGCACATGCACACACTCACACACTGAATGTAATAGAAAGAAAAGAGAAGATGGTGGTGATGACAATGACAACTGAGCACACATGGTGGCTTTTGCCTTTAATCTGAGCATTTGAGAGGCAGAGGCAGGTAGACCTCTGTTATTTCAAGACCAGCCTGGCCTACATAGCAAATTCTCGGTCATCTTAGGGGTACACAGTAGAACCCAGGGTATTAGCAAGGATGTATGGGGAGAGAAACCCTCATTCACTGTTGTTGGGGAAGTAAAGTGGTACAGCCACTATGAAAATCAATGTGGAGTTCCTCAAAGAGCTAGAACTATACCTACCACATGACCCAGCTATACCGTTCCCAGACATGCCCAAAGAACTCTATACCCTACTACAGAAATATCTGCTCATCCATGTTCACTGCTATTCTGTCGACAATAGATAGGACATGGAATGTCCTATCTTGATGTCCATCAATAACAAAAACATGGTACCTATAGTATATGGATGAGCCTGGAAAAATTATACTAAGTGAGGCAACCCAGACCTAGAAAGACAAGCACTGCACGCTTTCATCTGTATGTGAATCTAGTGTGTGTCTAACTTATAAAGTACCTGCCAATCCTGCTGACCTGGAGCCACACTAAAAAAACAAGACTTATGACTTGAGTATTTCACAAAGATGCTATCCTAGTAACTGGGGAAAGAAGTGCTCAATATCAGCAATAACCAAGGAAAGCAAGTTAAAGCCTCAAGAGATAGTATACATACAAAAATAGTTAAATAAGTTGACCGAGGCAAGATTCTCCAAGAACTTGAAGTAGAACTCACAAAATGCTACTAAGACAGAAATTCAGAAGCTGGGCATAGTAGCTCATACTTGTAGATTCTGGCTACAGGTACAAGGCATGAGAATTGCAGTCTTGGTTACATATTGAGTTCCAGGATAGTTTGAACTACACAGGAAGATCTTGTATCAAAAAGCAAACCAATCAAGGTGTGTAATGTGGGACAGGGGAGGACATGCTACCACAATTAACACAGCAATTCTATTTAGATGAATGTAACCTAAAGAAGTTTGTTCAGATGCACAACAGAATATGCCTGAGGAGGGCCAGAGAGAAAGCTCAGGAGGCATGACTGATGATCTGAGTTCCATTTTGGGAACCCACACAATGAAACCAACTTGCACATGCCTCCCGCCACTAAAGAAACAAATGAGTAAATACAATCTAAAAGATAGAGAATATGTCTGAGAATGTTTTTGGCAATCCACTGTCCACCCAGTGCTGACTGAACTTACTGTGACCTATTCACACCAGTGCATACTGTTAGCGACAGACATGAGGCTACCACATGGATGCATGCCAAGTGATACACAGAGCAAAAGAAGCAAAGCAAAAGATGCAGACAATGTGATCTCAGTAGAGCCTATTTTCCTTTAATAAAGTCTCATGTAGCCTAGGTGGACCTAAACTCTTGATCTTCCTGCCTATACTTACACCTATACTTACAGAGTGTTGGGACTGCAAGCATGCATCACCCCCAGCTTATTAAGGGATATTTGCAATTGCCTAATCTCTTAGGACTTCAGTCACCTTGGAACAAATGTATGCTTTGCCAAGGGCCCACCCCTCTTATACTTGGGAAAACAAGGCTGAAGAGGTACCCAAAGTCATACAGTGGCATCTTCTTGAAATCTGTCCCTGAGAATCTTAGGGAAGAACTTGCTTAAGTAAGACCCGGTTGACAAGGTGGAACCAGTTTACCAAAGGGACTTGGGTTAAGCTCAGGGGAAGGAAGAAGGAAGGAAGGAAAGTAGGGGAGGAAGGAAGACACAGCCCTTAAATTCGGATAAAAGGCTTGAAATGAGGAGACTCTCAGTGATCTACGGTGACTCCAGGCTAGAAGCCAGCAAAGCAGCAGGCTTAAGGCAAGGCCCAACAAGTGGAGCTTCGGGGAAGACAATGCTAACTAAGCACATGAGTGTGAACTAAAAAAAAAGCTGCAACCTCAGATCCAAGCAGGGGATCTTGCTGGCATGGAGCTGGTCCCTAAAGGGCACTGAGCAGCAGTCACCAATCCCTGAACTGTGCAGGGCAAGTCTTCCAGAGTGACACCACGTAGCTGTCAGATAACAATCTGGGTGCACCACTCACTGTTCTCTCTCCTCTGAGAGGACCTCTTTGGGCTACAGAAGCCTCTATACAGCTCAGAATCCTTACTAATGAGGGTTCTGGAAGACTTGGGAGGGTACTTGGAAAAATAATGTTGGGCATTAGTGCCCAACTTGAGAGATGACACACACAGGTCAAACATCTAAGCTGAAATAGATGGATCCCAAACAAGTGTTTCTCTAGCCTCTTTATGTTTACAATCCCATCATGTCAGGTGAGTGGGGAAACAAATCAAGCTAACAGGGAAAGGCAGAAGCCTGTTCACACAAAGCACATGATAAGTGACTCAAGAGGAGAAGGCTCATCCATTAAGGCAAACTCAAGCAACAAAATGCTGTGCTACCTAATGCTCCTCTGTGACTGGGGCCCATTAAAGGAACATGTTTCTTTCTCATCTCTTTTGAAAAGCAAGTGAGGTGTTCTTTGTTGCCCAGGGCACTGTCTATGAGAGCTCAAGCTGGTTCGCCATTTACACCTTTCCAGAGGGCCATGGACCTGCCCCTTACACCTGCCAATGCAGGCCTATGCCACAGCATTGCATCATCATCAATGGCGTGGGCCAGAAAAGGGTTCTACGATCTCCCAGCCCAAGGTCTGCCATCCCTTTTCACACTGCCACCACTGAAGGGAAGGATGAAAGGAGGGAGAAAAAGAAAAGGGAGACGATGTCTGCACTAACTGAAAAACAAAACCAGAAAGCAGGCCTGGTGGGTGTGTGACTGGTGGTTGGGCCACACAGCTCAGTAGCTACTGGTGCTATCATGAAAATGTAATTCCCCTGATAACCATGGAAACCAAATGAAGGCACTACGCCAAAGGCTGCTCTCTTTAGATAGCTAAAAACAATAAGAGGCCAGCAACCACAGAAACAAAGAAATGCAGGGACTCTAGGCCTGAGGAAATCCTTCCCTAAAAGCTTCAACAAAGTACCATTTTCTCCAGTTTCTAAATCTCACCAAGCTTCCACCAGGCCTGGAGACCTGACAAGGTTCATGAAACAATTCAAGCCTCTCTTGAGTGCAGGTCCCCTGGGGCCAGCGGCTGTGAGGCAAGCTCCCTGGGAGCAGGAACTTATTGTTATCCTAAAGCAGACTGAGACCCAGCAGAGGGACACGAACACACACACACACACACACACACACACACACACACACACACACACACACACACACAGTGAAAAAGATAGACTTTTATATAACCTCAAACTAACATAGTCAGCTATAGAAACAGCTTCACGGACCAGACACCATTGTCTGGTTCATAGCTTTATCTCCATCCAGCTCCTTGTCAATGTACAAACATGTAGCCAGAATAAACGAACATGGGAAAACACAAGCATTCTTTCTACTACCCAGTGCCAACAGTGTTGAAGTGTGAACAAAATCAAAGTCCTGGCCTCATTCTGGCTCATTTCTTTATGTGCAGGAGACAGCTGGATTACATGGGTTCCTAGGCATCTTCCAGTAGACAGTCAATCACTCTACTGTGCTTTTTTTTTTTTTTTTTTTTTTTTTTTTTTGGTGGGAGCACATGCCTGGCAGTTTGCTTTCCCCTCAGAGGGAATCTGATACCCATCTGCTCAAGTAAATTAGCGTTCCCATCCTGCTTGACTCATTCGGTAGGAACAACAGGTTCACATGCCAATATGAAACAGAAGGCAAAGGGGGCCTGGGTAAGGGGAGAGGGTTCGACAGCCAAAACCGGCACTGTTTTCAGGATCCCATACACAGTGGACGGTACGCTTACTGAACGAAAAACGTCTCTCTTGGAGTCCTTGCTAGCTTGCTATTTTAATAATGCTCATGCCGAGAGCACTCTCTAAGGAGCCCTCTGGCCCACACTGTGTTCATCTCTTCACGCTTAATCCTCACAGCAACCTATGGCCGAAGTATTCATTTCTACTTTTAACGGAAGCGCCATCGACGTGGCTCAAGGTTGCCTGGCTAGTGGTGGAACTAAAAACCAACTCCAGAGTTCTGGCTCATCAGATGGCTTTGCCATCAGTTCTTCGGTGCAGGAGGGAGGCCGCGCAGCGGTTATCCCTCTTCCTTCAAAGATTTTAGAAACCGAGTCTCCGCGATTTGCTAAAACCAGACCTACTGGGTGCCCGACTGCACACTCGCTCCGGCATCCCAGGTGAAGACTGCAAACCGCAAGGAGAATTCATTTTCTCTCAAAACCCTGGCTGAAGGCGACCGCGGTGGTCCCGGGGAAGGATGGAGGGGATCAAGGCAAGGCTCTCCCGGAGCTCCGGCGGCCAAGCCCACCCCCACATCCCCCGCACTGCCTCAGGCCGGGTCCCCGCGCCACAGCCACAGGTTTGGCCCGAGAGGCCGGTGGCCTGGAGCATCGGCGGGTTCCCGGGAGGCCTCCGGGGCGCGTGGAGGAAGCCGCGCTCTTACCTCTGGGAGCCGCGCTGCGGGGCCGCGGCCGCGACACCCTGGAAGCCGCAGGGCTGCCCGAGGACTGCGGCGCGCAGTCAGGAGGACCGACTTCGCCGCGAGCTCCGCCCCCGACGGCTGTCACGTGACGCGGGGGTGGCGCTCGGCTGTGAGCGCGCTGCCCCGAGACTGGAGGCGAGGCGGAGCCAGCGGGGCTCCGCGAAGGGCGAGCGTGGCCTCTGAAGGGGCAGGAATAGCATCCGTGGGCGATAACTGCAGGAGGATCCCAGGGGTCAACGCGGATCCTTTCTGCACCATTAGCCTAACAGTCCCATGGACTCTGTGCGGATGAGCACATAGGTTAAGCGGCTGAGCAGACTGACCCTGGCTTGGTTGTTTGGAAAGCTCTTGGTAGAGCAATGCACGATGTTGTTGCTCCACTACTAGTTATGGATCCAAGAGAACAAAGCTGTGATGGCCCCTGTTCTGAAATCCATTCTATGGTAGAAATGGTAAACACAGACCGCTATTTAAGTCCATATGTATTTAAAAGTATGTGCAGTACCTGAAAGGGGCACTGGTTTAAAACCAGGACCTGAGGGACTTGATGAGAGAATTCATACGGAAAAGGGGCAGGGAAAGCCTGTGTGAGAAAGCTCATGAGCCAAGGGAGGCAAGATCACTCCTTAGAGAAACAAAGTGTTGTGGGTTTTTTTTTTTTAAACAACAAAAAAAAAGATTTTCTTTAAAAAAAAAAAAACTTTTATGTGTATGAGTGTGCACCTGAATTCATGCGCACCCTGTGCTTACGGGGGCCACTGGAAACCAGGAGAGTTGGATCCGCTGGAACTGGAATACAGATAGTTGTGAGCCACCAAATGGATCCTTTGCAAGAGGAATTCACCTCCTAACCACAAGCTGCCTCTCCAGCCACGTGCACCCACCCCACCCCAGGCCAGTCTTAGATCAAAGGGTATTAGAGGTCAGCAGTATTCTATAAGGTTTCCCTGTATGTACGCGGAGGCCATTGAAGGGGTGGAGAATGTGGGTGTTTGGACACTGCTATTCTAGTGAAAAGAGAAGAGATTGTTGGGCTGAAGTACTGTAGTGGATATGGGGACACACAGATTTGAGACGGTTTTGTAGTAGAGTCAGATTTGGGTTGTTGTGGAAAAACTAGGGGGAATTCAATCATCTACTTAGCCATCTACCACAAGTCCAGGAGGTGCTATTTGTAGAAACGGGAACAATAACTCATTTGTGAACTTCTTAAGTTTGTGATGCCTATTAGCATCAAGGTCATTGATTTTCAAGAATGGATGTGGGGCAGGGGTGAGGGCAGGAGAGATGATCCAGCTGTTGACAGCACTGGCTGCTTTTGCAGAAGACCCAGGTTTGATTCTCAGCACTCATACGGCTGGCTGCTCACTACAACTCGAGTTCCAGGGGATCTGGCATCCTCTGCTGGTCTCCTGGGGTACCAGGCACACTTGATACACAAACATACATGGAGAAAGCACACATACACATAAAATAATTTTAAGATTTTTTTTTTAAGCACCTGGACTCAGACCTCTGAATTATAGAAGAGACTGTAAGTGCAGAAACCTGACTCACCAAGAATGTTGAGAAGTTTCTACACCAGACCCCTGTGGTTCTACCAAAAAAAAAAAAAAAAGTGTTAAAATACATTCCATCTATTACTACTATATGATGAATTAGGCATGAAGGGGTGAGGCCCACATTACCCGTGTAACTGTAGGGGTTTTTATTTGTTTTTGTTTTATGTAGTGGTTGGAACAAATTCAGGGTCATGCACATGCTGGGCAAGTGTTCTCCCCTTCTCCTGTACCTCAGCCCTCCACTGCTCCTTTGTTTAAAACCCAAACCAAACACCTAGGCCTAAAAAGATGGAAAGACTGAAATGTACACCAAGCCCACAGATCTAGTGGAAAGGCCACGGTTGGGTCAAGTCCAGAGAAAAACAGGATGAGCACATACTACAAAAAACTTGGTGATGTTGCTTGCTTTTGATGACTGGTAAACCAGTCACATGTCTAACCCTTTGAGAAGTACTCCATTGTATGAAACCAGCAGGCTGGATATGAATTTCAATAAGCAATTAAAATCCCGAGTTCCTGGATTTGTGACATCAAACATTACTGTTTGTTTTGGCATTTCTGTAAAGGAGTTGGGACTTGCAAAGGAGAATGGTGGTGGCTGCCTACCACAGCATGCTGTCTGTCCTGTTCATTAGTGCTACAGGTGTCACATGCCACGTGAGGGATTTTTATGTCAAAATAGTGGTGAATCAAAAAGATGCATTCATTTTCATTTTAGGTGTATGGGTGCTTTGGCTGCATGTATGTTGGTGCAGAACAGCATTTGTCAGCAGTTGGTTGCTCCTGTTTTCCTGCCCTGCTCTGTCTGGTCCAGGCTTCCATCCCACTATGTGTGCAATGTTTTCCCTACTGTCGGTTGACTTCTCTCCTTCATTTGACTACAGTGGGCTTGCTCATCTTAGCAGCCTGGCACATAATTCCTATCGATGGCAAATGGTCCTCAGCCACGTGAACCTTTTCTTTACAGAAAGATTAGATTCAGGCAGAGTCATTTTTCCAAAAACACAGCAGCTGCCATCTTTCTTGGCTGCCTGCAGATCTCAACTTTCTTCCTACATTTGGGGATCATCACTGATGGGCTTGTTGAGAAGCAAACCGTGTGCTTTGTTACGGAAGTGAAGGCTCTAGATGCTTTCTCTGTCTTTCTATGTGATTCTAATTTTACAAATAAATATTTCCCCTACAGAATTGAGACCTACATGCTATATAACAACATCTCTGGAACATTGTCAGCAACTTCAAGTAGAGCATCATCAGGTGAAAGCTGTGAACTTGCATCCCTCAGGGTAAGTGGTGACACCTAATGGTCAACAGACAAACAAGAGATGTTCCAGTTGCCTGGTCTCCCAGCAGACCATCCTCTAGTGATCCTGAAACTCCTTTTATCTTTTTAATGAAATATTTTCCTTACGACTGCCAAATTGGATTTTGATGTTTGCAACTAAAAATTCATGCTCACATAATTTATATTAAAGCGCTGAAGCTGTTACCCAGGGCTGTGAACTCCAGATTCTAGTGTTCTCACCACATTCATATCTCCATGTTCCAACAATCCACAATATTTACATTATGTATTGGTGTCTCTGTATCAGTTTCTTAACTGAATTTTTATGGAAGCTGAAAATAAACATTTTGAGTAGCTGCATGAGGAGGCGGTTGTCAGTAGAACATCCAATTTCAAAGGCAGAAATATTATGCATCTGCTGTATGATTTTCTTCTTTTTTTCTTTCTCTCCATGTGGTATATGTGCATGTTTTTGCTTGTGCATGGGTGGGGGCAGAGGTCACCACTGAGCATCTTTCTCTATTGCTCTCCACCTTTCCCCCCTTTTGTTGAAAATACATCGTTATGCAATATATCCCGATTACAGTTTCCCCTCTCCCTGTTCCTCCCAGTTCCTCCCCATTTCCCATGCCATCCAGACCTACTCCCTTTTGTCTCTCATTAGGGAAAAAAAAAAGCAGGCCTTTTCCCCTAAGGGGTAATAATAAAATATAACAAAATAAAATATAAGATGAAACAAAAGCTAGCACATCAGACTTGGACAAACAAACAAAAAGAAAAAAGAATCAGAGACCCTCTTGTTCTCACACTCAGGGATCCCATAAAAACACTGAACTGGAGGCCGTAGTATATACACAGAGGACGCGGTGTGGACCTGTGCAGGCTCTGTGCATGCTGCCTCGTCTCTGAGTTCATACCAGCTTTGATCATGTATGTTTAAAGGGCCTTGTTTTCTTGGTGCATACCCTCTGGCTTTTACACTCTCTCCACATCTTCTAAGGATTCCCTGAGCCCGAGGGGAGGGATTTAGTGTACACATCCTATTTAGGCTGAGTGTTCTAAGGTTTCTCACACTTGAATAATGTCTGTGTGTGGGTCTCTGTATCTGTTCCCTTCTGCTGCCGATGGAAGCTTCTCTGGTAGCTGAGCAAGGCACTGGCACTGATCTATAAGTACAGCAGAATATCATTAGGAGTCATTTTATCACTACATTTTTTAAAAACACCAGTAGTATTTGGTTTTACCTAAGGTCCCTGGGCTATCTGGTCTCTGGTTCTTGGTCAAGCAATGTCAGGTGTGACCTCCATCTGTAAAGTGGGTCTTAAGTCAAGCCAGCTATTGGTTAGTTTCTCCCACAAGCTTTGTGCCACTATTGCCCTAGCGTATCTTGCAGGCAGAACACCATTGTAGATAAAGGGTCTGTAGTTGGCTTGGTGTTTACATTTCTCTTTTGGTAGCATGCAAAGTAGTTTTCCATGTTCAATGAGTTGTGTAGGTGTTGTCTTCAGCCATGGGGCCTTTCTGCCAGTTTATAATGAGCAACCTATAGTCTTGGCAACATCCTGGGTTGTTTGGAGATTCCCATGAGCCCCTTTGACCAACAATTCAATTAGATGTAATCCAAACTTAATACTCAAAGCTTCATTGGTGGCAAGAGTTGGCCAGCTGGGACTCTGTCTCCCCATTATTTGACAATTTCATTTATATTGCCTTCATATATGCATATATTTTAGGTCACTTCTACTGTATTGGGTTTTCATATTGCCACTCAAATGGGCCTTGATTTTAGCTGTCTCTCCCCTTATTTCCCTTCTCTTCCCATCACCACTCGATCCTCCCATTCCAGCCACCCCCCCCACACTGTTCATAGATATCTATTCCATTTCCCTTGCCTAGGGAGATCTATCACATTTCATCCCTTACTGTATACCTACCCTCTGTGTTTCCATGGCTGTTTCTAATTTCTGGCTGTTATGAATAGAATATCAATGAACATGGTTGAACAAGTGTCCTTGTGACATGATAAAGTGTCCTTTGGGCATATACCCAAGAATGGTGTAGCAGGAACTTGAGGTAGATTGAAATCCACCTGCCTCTGCCTCCCAGGTGCTGGGATTAAAGGTGTGCACAGCCACCCCTTTCTCTATCAGCTTCAGTGTATCTGATTTTATGTTGAGGTCTTTCTTCCTTTCTCTCTCTCCCTCTCCCTCTCCATCTTCCCCTCCCCTCTCTTTTGGTTTGTTTTTCG